GCGCTGCGGACCCGAGGGAGGGCACGATTAAAGCATTGCCCTCCGCTGCGAGCCCAGAGAGCCCGTCACGGGCCAGCGCGCTAAGTGTGCAGCCTTCCTCACGCCCCCGAACCACCCAAGGCGGCGACACCTGATCCAGAGCGCACACACGGGTCCCTGCTGTCCCGGATACAATTACGTGGCGGAGACACACTCGGACTCACGCGCAGCAGCCAAGAGACGAGGTGAGCGGAGGGACTGCACCGTGCGCACCGGCGACAGGGGGGCGGGCCGGGCGGAGGCGAGGGACGTCGTTTGCTCCGAAGGTGAGTGCTGGGCGCTCGGCGGAGGCCCTGGGCGGGAGCAGCGATCACCGAGTGCTGATGGGCTTGGGCTGAGGGAGTTTGGAATGGGGAGGGGCGGGAGGGCCAAGGTCGGGAAGGAAGCGGGGACTGGGGGTGTGGACCAGAGACTTCTCAGGCTGTTTGGGATAGCGGCGCGGCCCTTTCCCTCCCATATGGCACTCCTTCGAAGGTCTTCCCTCCGTGCGTGCAAGGGGAGGCGGGCAGAGCCGGGCGCCGGGCCCCCTAGTACCTTGCTCTTGACCCTGGAAGGATGGGCACGGCAGACCCCTAGGCCGAGTCAGCAGGCGGGCAGGGATGAGGGACCCGGCTGCGCTTCGGGAGCTCGCCAACTCTACGCCGACGTCCCCCTCAGGGGGAGCACGAGTGGGGCGCGTTGGGGGTGGGGATGTCCCGGTGCTGTCCGCACACTGGGACCTTTCATTTCAGCCCCGCCGCCCGGGTATGCGTGCCAGCGCGACCGCAAGGAAGGGCCAGTGGTGGAGGGGTAATGCGGGGCCGCGCGCGGATGTGGGGGATGATGCGAGGCGCCCTTGTATTAGAGAAGCCTGTGCGGGCGCGGGTCGAGAGGAGGTGAGCTCGCGGGCAGGGAGAGAGAAGGACGCGCTGCAGGGAGAAGGGCGCCTTCCCTGGGCTGGAGGAGCGGCCAGGGCCCCGGAGGTGTGGGAGTCACACCGCATCGCAGGGTGCAGGAGTATGCAGTGTGTCGGGGCAAAAGGTCAACCAAAGGGCAGCGGGGGGCATACCCGGTGGATCTGTGGGCGAACTCGCCCGGTCCTCGGCGGAGGGCGCATGAAGTTGAGTACAGTGGACGTGCCGCACACTGCAGCACTTCCGTAAAGAAAGGTCTGTAGCTGCACCTGTACCTGGCTCCCACCAGGCCTTTTACTAGAGCGCAGCTGGGACGCGGGGTGGGCAGGCCATCCTGGACAACTTCGGAGAGTCACTGACTAGGGCCTTTGCACTAACCAGGGGTTCGCAGCGGGGAGACAGTTATCACAGGGATTTTCAAATCAGAACTTGACCTGGAGAGTCACCTCCACCTCACCAGGGTGAGCAATGGAGACAGAGCCTCTGTTTAGGTGGGTTTCATTGGAAGAGAAAAAACACTCTTCAAAAAAAAAAGTTTGGTCCTCCCTCAGGTTGTCACCTTACACTACTGACGTTTTTTTTTTTTTTTTTCTTTTTTTCCCTTCAAAATTAATGACATAAATGTGTGGCTTTTGGGGCAGATGCCAAGTCTGCAGTTGTTTTTGTTTTTGATGATTTCATGTTAGAAAACAAAATATTTCTGTAAGCACTTGGAATTGGCATTAGTTTATTCCCATTTATCCCCAGGGGGAAAAAAACAAGAATGAATGCCATTTGAAGGAAGGAGAGAAAATTCTTTTAATCAATATCTTGGCACTAATAGGAGTAATCACACTTTATCCCTAGAGATTTTCTGATTAATTGGTATCCTGACCTCAGTGGTAAGGAAGACCACAACTCGGTCTTAATTGAACTTTATCTGAGCATGCAGATTTCGTGTTCTGTAGAAACATCTCCTGGTAGCTTGAAGTTTTGCTGTAGGTACGTGTCCTTACTCAGTAACTATCCTATATAGTGCCAGACAGAAACACTTCAGTATTGTCTAATATACCTGCTACGGCAAGGTGCAATTGACACCTAGTGTTTGACCTCAGGCTATAGGAGTGTTTTAAAACCAAGGCGTGGTGATTAAGGTGTTGGACTCCCACATGGCAGACCACTGTTTGAGCCCAGACCTGGTGGTTTGCTTTCTCACTTTCCCTCTCTCTTTCTCTCTCTCTCACTCTGTCCCTCTCTGGTCAAATTAAAAATAAATAAATAGGGACCAGCAATTGGCGTAATGGCTATGTCACTGGATTCCCATGTAGTCATCCACAGTTCAAGTCCCGGACCCAGTGGCTTAAACTCATGCCGGGCACCTGTGCGTGTGTGTCCAAGATCCCGAGAGGAGAATGGAGGAGAAGGAATTGTGAAATAGCCATTCCCCCGGGGAGTGATTTCTCGCTTTCTGTCTCTGTGTCTCTCTCTTTCTGGCGAGCAAACACCCTATAGCAAAACCTTTCTAAATAACTAACTAACTAAAAAAATAAATAAAGTTAAATAATTCTTCTTTAAAAATGCAAAAGTAAGTTGAAGCAATGTGCCCCGACATATGTAGTAAAAGTGAATATGGTATTAGGAGCCTGGGGCACAACTAAGCAGACACTATACCTCTCTACTATATGTATTTATTTATTTATTTATTTATTTTTGCTGTAGGGCATGTGTGCTCCCAGAGATACAGAAAGTGTATGGGCCACACTGCAATCCCTTCTTTTCCATTCTCCTCTCAGGATTTTGGGCAAGTATATACACATCTCGGGCATGAGTTTTAAGCTGTCAGGTCTGGGGCTCTAACTGTGGTCAGCTACATGGGAGCCCAGGGACATAACCACTATGCTATCTGATGGTCCTTCTACTATAGAATTTTGAACTCTTTCTAAATCTGAAATTTCGAGGACTTTGTACTTGTTGTGTGTATGCTCAGTGCATAAGCTGCAACATATCAATGTAGTAAATAGGGATATTTACTTAATTTTTGTAAAAATGATCTTTTGTTGAAACAGTTCCAACAGTTTACATTTACCAATAATTTATGTTAAAAAGTATTTCATGGCATGCACCTTACGAACAACCATTAACGTGGTTACCACTTAAATATCACTGGCAAGTCTACCCTCCGCTCTCAAACTCCTTTCTAAAATCACACACCGATTTGTCAGGTCACACTGATTTACTACTGTTTAATTCCCACTAGATTTCCAGTGTATACCTGGAAATTTCAGTATACACCCGGAGGTTGTGAATTCTTGATTGTTTACACAGCGCATAATAATATTTTATTTATTTGATATCACGTGGGTTGTGATTTACTTACATAAGCACATTGTCTAGATTGCTGACCCTGACACCATTAATTACTAAAACTTTAGAAGAAGAATTGAGCCATTAAAACCATTTCTAATTCTTACTCTCTGCCTTGTTTCCTGGGAGAATATTGGATATAAGTTATTTTTTGGTTGCTGGCTTGTCTTTGAGCATGGATTCATAAAGAATTGAATAGTCCTATTTGTTGAGTTATAGAGCTGTTTTTATTTCTAGTAAATGGTCTTAACGCGCTGGGTTGAAACACTAGAATGAAGACAGAAGTACCTTTCTTCTTTTAATGGCTTTTCTGGGTCCTCTTTCTGTTATCAGCTCTCACTTTTTCCCATGGCCAGGCTGTGAGCAGGTCCTGCCACTGTATTATCTGTTGTTTTGTTTTTTTTTTTTCATGAAATGATGTGAGCTATTGCCTGAGTATAAAGCCTGTGGACTTTGTGACAAGATACTTTCTGTTCACATGCTTTATTTGAGGGATGGATTATGAGCTAAACGGTTGAAATTTCCAGCAGGGTGGCCTTGATAGAAAAGGTTTTAAGAGAACCTTTAAGTTATGAGAATTTTAGAAAAGTGCCTTAATTTTAGACAGGTCAGTCTTCTGCAAAGTCTTTGCTTTTCTGCAAAATTCAAATTTAACTTCCTTCGGGTAGGCCCAGCTTGTCTTGGTTTGGGAATATGTATATCATAATATTTACACACCATTTCCTGCCATTGATGCTCACTAACCACATGTAATGTTCTTATTTCCCTAGGTGCAAGCCAGAAATAAGAATTGTGATTTTACAATCCTCTAACCATCCTTGAGGCGAAAGTCAATTATTTAAATACTATTTTGCATATGTACCTTTAGAGAAGATACATAAACAAATTGATTTGAAACAAGTAGTTCAATTCAGAGATAAAGATAGTGGTAACCGTATCTTCTTGACCTGAACACTTCACCATCATTGGTTCTTTTATTCAACCAATATAGGGCTGTGATAGAAGGACACAAAGGACCCTCAGCAGGGATTTGGAAGTGGCCAGTTCTACCAAGGGGCGGAAGCCTCAAGAGGCTTTATAGAAGATGTCCTAAAAAACACTGTAGGCAGGAGCCTACAGTGATCTCGTATAGAGGTCCTTTGGCCTTCCTAAGCAGTTTCGATCATTTTTGTTCAAGGTTATTTTAACCAAAGATGATAGGAGAGGACAGCTCTCACAGCAATCTAGAAGAATGGCTTTGAGGAACATGGGTTAAGAACAGCAGTTTAGAAGGTGGAGTGACCTTGGTAAGAGAGGCGAGGAACTTACACAAAGTAGCAGTGAGATGAAGAATAGAGTTTGGGCACACAGATGTTCAGGTGGGCTATTGATTCAACGGCAGAGTGAGGGGCTGGTCTAGGGGAGAGGATAGCATCTCTGTTGTGGAGTTGAGTTTCAGTGCTTTTTGTCCACTGCCTACTCCCTCACAGTTGATAGAATCGTTACTTGCAAATTGTAGTGTTCTCTCCAGGTGATTCTCAGTTTAGGATTTCTTCCAGTTTCATGTTGGACATTCACCAACCCAGTTATACACTCTGTAGTGTCAGCACTCAGCAGTCCTTTACAGAGAGAGCAAAAATCACCTTGAACTTGCCAGGCAGCATTTTGGAGTGCGTAGCCTAAACAAAACAGCACCTTGAGATTTATAAATGGCAGGGGATCTAAGACAGCCTAGGTCAGTTCCTGTTCTCTGGGTGGAAATTTACATAAGTTTTAAAACATTTGGATTAGATAGAAAGAATATATAGTAGGAACATTTTAGAGCTACTGTATGTTTCATTTAAAGTCTGTGCTGTTTATGAGTGTTAACTGGGAGTAATCATTGTACTGGTTTTATTTTAAAGATAAATCATTTTCTACCGACTTGATACAGATAGAGAAGCATTTGCATATATTTCAGTTCTCTAAAT